AACATCGGAACGGTCGGAATGGGGGTGAGATGAAATACGGTGAATGGAGATGATTTCCTCATATCTTTTTATCCATCCGTTTTTCACACAGTCACACACACGCACACGGAAAGAAGACGATAAGAACATTTTTTTAAAAGAATACGTACATAGATACGTAGGCATTCTTCAAGCAAGGGGCAATCGACCTAAAAAGAAGCACAGTAGTCTCGTTAGAGACTGAATTTTGAGAGTCTGAACCCTAATTCACCCCCCTTGTCCGACCCTCCACCCACCCACCACTTGCATCCACCAGTTGGAAATTATTTTCCTTTTTTCGACGCATTTCTTCTTCTTTTTTTCCTTCTTCTTCTTCTTCTTCTTCTTCTTCTTCTTCTTCTTCTTCTTCATCGTTAACGAACCTTTTGGTTCTTTCTCGTGCACGACTCTCGAGCTGCCATGTCTCGCGCGATAAGGTGACTTCATTAAAGTCTCTCTCTTTCTCTGTCGTTGTTTTATTTTTTATTTTATTTTATTTTATTTTTTTTTTTTTTTTTATCTTTTTTTTATCATCATTTTCTTCGATCTACCAAAAGAAAATCTTATCGACTAATGACCCTAATCAAAAGGAAAACACGTAACACGTTGAAGAGTATATTTGTTCAAATTGAAAAATTTTAAATCAGATAATTCAAAGCCGCCCGTCCAATCCCTCGTCCACCGATTACTCAACCCTTTCAAATGACGTTCGAAAGATAAAACAGAACCTATTACTCGTAGGAAGTATAAAAAATTTGATTTTAACAACCATTTGAAAGAAATAATCTAATAACGAAGAGAGAGAGAGAGAGAGAGTGAGAGAGAGAGAGAGAGAGAGAGAGAGAGAGAGAGAGAGAGAGAGAGATGGATTTAGCATGAAAGGAAAAAAGAGAGCGTGCAACCAACATGTAAGAACGTAATCTTACTATAATATCTAGTATCTAGGGGTATGTTCTTAACCGTAAAAGAGACCGCCCTTTTTCGTGCTCGACAGACCTGAACGTTCTATCTATCTACTATCTATCTATCTATCTATCTTTCTTTGGTGTCGGAAAGAAGGATGGAAAGACCGTATATGTCTTACCTATATCGAGTAGCGTAAACTCATGTCCAAGGAGAGGGTTTCACGGTATTTTTAATTTCACCCTCTCATCTACGCCCCCTATATATTACCATACCGTGTTATGTACAACGGAACTTTACCTCTCTCTCTCTCTCTCTCTCTCTCTCTCTCTCTCTCTCTCTCTCTTTTTCTTTCTCTAACATACTCCCTTCTTCGTTCGTCTCTTTTCAACCCTCACGTCTTTTATACCACATTGTCGTAGTAGTATAGTACGCTGATTACGATGCCATTTTATTTTTTTTGCAGGTGTTAGTAGTAAGAGAATAGAAACCTGAGGGTGAACCTGAAAGGACGCAGCGCATGCGTACCGTATGCGTTACGTATTACTACCGTACGTTTAAGTACTTATATACGTAAAAGATTTCACGGAGAAATTCACGAGTTTTACATACACACGCATATATATATATATATATATATATATATATATATATATATACCTTTTCTCATTATTCTCCTATTTTTTCTTTTTTTTTGTTTCCCCTCAATTTTTTTATTTTTACATTTTTTTCTCTTTTTGTTTCGCAAATTTCATAGTGCACGTAGGTACGTACATGTATGATAAAATTCTAAATTATTTATCGATTCCGAAATATGTCGATTGTATGTAATATAATCGAATTTAATTCGAGATAGATAATGCGATATACTTCGAAATAATTTCGACTACTTTCTGTCTGATACTGTGCATTAGAAAAGGAATAAAAATAAAGAAATAAAGAAAAATAATAAAATGGAAAAAAGAAGGAAGAAAGGAAAGAAGAAGAAATGAAGAAAAGAAAAAGAAAAGAAATAAAAAGAAAAGAAAGAGAACGTAGATTAAACTTTATAGCCTTTGATGTGTTATACACGCCACGTGTAATATAAATAATCAATTTTATCGAATTATCAACGCGCGAAACCTGCAACCAGATAAAGTCTTGCAATACTGGAAAGAGAGAGAGAGAGAGAGAGAGAGAGAGAGAGAGAGAAAGAGAGAAAGAAAAAAAGAAAGAAAGAAAGAAAGAAAGAAAGAATCGGAGAGAGAAAGAGAGACGAAAATTTAAATCGACGCCTATCACCACGTATCTCGTTGCCTTTCGAGCATTATTCTCGCGATATCTCTCGATTTCGTTCAGTAACACACAACCAACACCAACACCAACACCAACACCAACACTAACGCCATTGCAAGTTTCCTTCCCTTCTTTCTTACACGCGATTCTAGATCGGATCTCTCTCTCTCTCTCTCTCTCTCTCTTTCTCTCTCTTTCTCTCACTATCTATCTCGTTTCTTTCTTCCTCTTTCTCTTTCTCCGTAATGTTTGCTCGGCTCGGCTGGGCACAGACCAACAACGTGGATAAATCCGGATGCGGGAATAGAGTCGAAATTATTGCTAAAGATTCTTACGTTGATAGTAGAAATGTTCAAGCACGATTCCTAAGACTCCAAGACCTAAATCAGGATATTCTACGAGACGATATCTACAAATACATATGTTCCATCCAATACATACATACGTACACATTTAGATACATATGTACGATCGCCTTTAAATGTATGTATGAGTGGTTATCGAAAGTTCTACGATATCGAATGGGAGAAAAAACATGGAGGGGGGAAGAAAAAAAAAAGAAAAGAAAAATCAAAGAGTAACGCAAAGAAGAATCTCGTTGATATCGGATTCCAATCTTCCTAAATGTAATATCAATCGTGATACGTTACAACGAATGGATAGTATCACGTGTCATCCAACCGATTTTATTCTATATTAATTTAAAAAAAAAAAAAAAAAAAAAAAAAAAAAAAAAAAAAAAAAAAAAAAAAAAAAAAAAAAAAAAAATATTAATAACGTTAAAATACAAGGAATAAAATGGATTTATATAGGATCAATTTAGAATCGTGAAATTTCGATCGTTGACGTAAATAAATCGCCTTTCTTACGTTCTTCTAAACTGCATACTTAAAGATCTAGTTGCTTCATATAGGAACAACACTTAAGGAGCAAAAATAAGAAAACGAAAAAAAAAAAAAAGAAAAAAAGAAAAAAAAAAGAAAAAAAAAACTAGGAAAAAGAAAAAATAAAGTATAAAAAAGAAAAATACAGAAGCGAACTGACCAAACGATCGATATTTATTATTATTATTATTATGCGTTCACGATAACGCTAACCATTGTTTATTTTGGACAATTCGCAAAGGCAAATATTATTTGAAAGAGCTAAGTTAAAAAAGATTACCTTGCGGAATAAATAATGAAGAATCGAACGAGAATGATGAATGTTAGAAATAATTGCTGAGTCGACGTTTTACGATAGGTAAATTTGCAAAGGAAAGAAAAAAAGAAAAAAAAAAAAAAAAAAAAAAAAAAAAAGAAAAGAAAAAGAAAAAAAAAAGAAAGAAAGGAAAAGGAAAAAAAAGTCGAAATAGAAAAAAGGGAATAA